CGTGTCCTCAAAATTGTCTTTACTGAGACCCGCTTTGTTCAGTACTTCCAACTTCTTACTAATCATAGGCCATATCATGTCATCGATTGTGTCTTTTGCCACTAAATAATAAATTTTTACGTCATTTTTCTGACCGATTCTATGGACTCTATCTTCGGCCTAAGAGTACATCGAAATTATTACTAAAATAAAATTTTTAAACCAAATAATAATGAATGAAAACCTGTGAAAGTATTCCCGGATTCCAGAAAAGTTCGGCAAATACGACAACCGAAGCGGCGATAAGATTGAGTCCAGTGGCGCACGCGGTTATGCTTAGCAACGCTACTCTGCAGTCACTCACTCTTTGGAACTCATTGCACGCCTCCTGTCTGTCAGTTGCAGATGTCGTGCCATCGATACGAATGTGATTCACACGCATATCAGCCAACACTTGCTGTATTGAATCCATCATTTGTTTGTGATGACAGAAACATAAGAATTTCACGTTTTGGTTCAACAACTGTGCCATATATTTGCACACCGGATCCACTTTAGCCATAGCGCTATCCATATACCAATCAAAGTGTGATGTGTTCTCATCGAGTCTAAACGACAACTTCTTCACCACATTTGAATAGTTCTTCAGTTTTGCCTTTTCCTTATCGCTCATGTGATTCAAGTTTAACATAATCTAAATAAAAGTTACAAGTTATTTGACAATTAATTACTTCGATTTGGAGAGTAAATCAAACCATTTCTCGTTTCTTTGGCGGCAATTGTGACAAAACTTGTGACTTAAGTCTTCGGAGAAGAATCGTTGACTCGAGAAGGATCTTGAGTTCGTCGAGATTCTTAGCGCCGTTATAATCCCAGATCTGTTTCTGTTTGCCCGCATTTCTGGCGCCTCTCATCCAGAAGTGTTTGAGGTGTCCGTTACAGTAACGCATCCCAAACTCGTGCTTATTTGCAAACAGTTTGCCATTCAATATCTTGATTTGAGTGAACAGTTCTGCGCAAATCAATTCAATGTTAAAATCATATAATTGTCAAACACTTTCATATTCAAAGTACCCATCGGTCGCGATAGGGCTGGCGTTCCCGTCAATAATATAACTCTTTTGGACGCTTTGGCCATTAGACTGACCGCATCTGTTCTGACGGCCGTATCGTTCTTAATGTAATGACTTTCGTCGAGAATCACAAAATTATACGTTTGTTTGCAATCCATATTAATGTGAGGCTTAATTCTTGCCATCAGATCATAGCTTATAATCGTAATCAACACTTTTGGTAGATTTTCCATCTCTTTGGTCACAACATAGATATCATCTTCTTTAACGGTTGGCAACCATTTGTTGATCTGATCTCTCCATTGGTATCTCAGAGACGACGGACACACTATAAGCAAAGGCCAGTCGTCTCGAAACCATTGGGCAATACTAATGGCTTGCAATGTCTTTCCCAAACCCATGTCATCGGCTATAAGACAACGACCACCAGTTCTTATGCCAAAGACAATGCCCTCCACTTGAAATCCAAACAATTCTGATATCAACTGAGGACTAAGTCTTTCTTTAAGATCGATGTCCTCTTTTGGCCGATTTATGGCTTCAATCAATGCATTGATCACTCGATCGGGAACTGAATCAACAAATTTAATGTCAACCGAACTTATAGTTTGCAAATCAGTGAGAATTCTCTTGTAGTCCTTCATATCAAATCTCCACATCTTTGAACTTGGATTCCAATCACGTGATGGTATTCCTCTCAAGACATTAATCACATCCGCGTTGTAACCAATATTCAGCTCAAATCTCTTACTCGACATCAAACGGATGGTTGCCTTCACTTCTGTTTTCCTACCCATTCCTCCACTACAAGAGCCGTTAGTTTTGACACTACTTTTGGGATCCGTTGTATTTTGTGGCATAACTTTGGGCTTAATATTAGTCATAAGACTTGCGGATGGGTTGGAAGTGATGGTCGGCTGTGTCTTATTGGGCGCAGCATTGGTTGCATTTGATTCAATCGCTTGCCTTTTGTTACGCTTTTCAATGGCAAGCCTTCGCTTGTGTTCAATCATTTGCATCAATTGTGGATCCAATTGATTGGCCGAAGACATTGTCTCGCAATTCAATTCAATATATTTGACAACAAAACGCTTACAAATGTTTACATTTATGTAAATTGCATTCAATTTGTAATAATTATTGACAATAAATGCCAACCATTTGTAAATCCAATTAAATAATGGTTTAAATAAAAGTAAATGAATGCCAAAAAACTTACCAAAAATATAATAATTAAAACCAAAAGTAATTTCAATTCAAAATATTTAAATGCTTTGAAAAACAATGCATTAATTCATTGCAATTAAACGTTAAAACAATACATGCAGTCATTTAATTGGCGCTCAACTCGTAATCATTCAAAAACAACGTTATATTTGGAGTGCGTGTGAGAGTGAGTGTGGTTTAGGGGGTCTATACTCATGTGGAATACATTTCAGAGCAAATTCTGTTGTAAAGGGTTTAATAAAAATGAATATAACGTAACGTTATATAAGTATTAATGTATGCATTGATAGCGATATTATTTGAAATGTTTTGATAGAGTTATGGAATGAAAGCGAAAAATGAGTTCGCAGTGATTCGCAGCTGACGTCAAGTCATATCATATGAGTCTATATTGTTGTACACATAGTGTTGTACTCAACACTCCCTCCCTCTCCTCCCCCACCCCTCCGACCCCTCCCTCCCCTCCAACCCCTCCACTCAGCCCTTCCAACACTTACACTGTCGTGAGTTGTGGTCACCTTTGGGTCACCTCTGGTCAGCCAATACTGCAACTAATTGTAATCAATGTAAACAACGATCAACTGTGAGTCAAATTGCATTCAACTATACAATACTGTTATAGTTGTCAAGTGTTGCCATTCATAGCATTCATAGCATTGAATAGCATTAACACAAGGCGTTAACCATTGGCTACCCTTTGGCCGATCATTGGCTGTAATAGTGATGAGAGGCGGAGGGAAACACACTGTCAGCTGTTATGTGCGACTCTTTGCACACTAACTGTGCACACAATGTATAGAGTGTGCAGTGTTTGTAAACATTACAAGTGTTGCCATTATTTGCCTTTTAATGCCTGCAAATCGCAACTCAACTCACTATTGGATGGCCACTGCATTGGCACTCATTTGCGCGCATTTCAATCACATAACTTATAATTACTTTTATACAATTTAATTATTATTTATCAACATGTTCAATTCACAACTATTTTGTAAAGTAATATCGTCTAGACTGCAATGTATAGGCAAATGTTCACTCATAATACTATATTATTTATTAATAAATATGAATTTAGTTATAATAAAATGGTAAACAGATTTGTATTGTTTGGTAATAATTATACCAAAATATGGCTTTAATTTGAATAAATATATTAATACAAGAGATGATTGAATGTAATGTTGAGAATATTGATCGATAAAAACAAATTCATTAAAAATACTGAAAACGTTAATTAAAAATGAAAANATGATTGAATGTAATGTTGAGAATATTGATCGATAAAAACAAATTCATTAAAAATACTGAAAACGTTAATTAAAAATGAAAAAATGTAACTAAAAAAGACATAATTATACAAAACCTAAAACTCTTAACTCTTTAGTACAACTCTACTAAAAATGACAATTATATTGACACAAGAATTTGTGAAAAACACTAGGCTTTGGTTTAGGAACTGTTTTTCTTGCTTTGACAATATCTCACGCTTTATGCCAAATGCACAGCAAATTCATTTGAGTGCAGGCTATGAGGTATTGGAGATCAGGACTGATGGCAACCGTATTGACAATAACGGGTTTTTTGTCATCAATAATTGTTTGGTTGTTTTTAGTGATGTTCTCAATGAGAGGCCACTCTAGAATTCTGTCCGCTTCAGTCATTGCAGTGCTTTTGGCACTCAAATCATCGGTCAAATAGAGCCTTATCTGCCCGTCGGGTCCTCCGCTCACTAATAGGTTATTCTCTGCCGACAAGTATATGAACGGAAAAAAGCCATCAAATGATTTAAGTCTCGTTTTCGTTACTTTCAATAAAGCTATTGATTTTGGTTCGCATTTAGTATTTGTTTTACTCATTTCTTCGGTTACTTTCTTGAGATCAACAATTGTGATCATTTTGGAGGCGTAGACCCGAACAGCAATCGAGTCTTCGTCTCCGGGAATCACAATCAGTCCGTCGATTAAGGATTTGGTTTTGATTTGAGCTGAAAATGAATTTTGCTGCGAATCACGCAAATGCGCCAAATGTATGGGTTTTGGCCATAAGTAAAGGCCTTTGTGTCCCGAAGCGAACAATATATCATATTTGTGAGAATAGCTTAGACTCAACAAATTGTCTTTCATGTGGATTACTGTCAACAACTCAATACTCGTCTCCTCTTTTGGTCGCGAGATTTTCCACAATTTAATCGTTTCGTCATAAGAGGCGCTGAAGAGGAGATCATTTGTGATGAAAAGCAATGCATTGATTTGATCTGAAAACCAAATTTAACATTAATTATGTAATCATTGCAAGCATTTGTGAATGCAATGAGACCTGAATGCGCGGCAATCCTTTGATAGCAATGAAACTCATCGAGACTTGACATGAGAAGAATGGATGACTTGCCGCCCACCGCCAGAACCAGTGCCTCAGTGTCTGCGGTGTCGGTCACAGGCATTACAGTCCACGCCAGAGATGCAAACTCTTCGTCTTCATTGGCGTCTATATATCGGGCCATCACTGGCGAGACGTCGCTCTCTATTGACTTCTTGCAGTCAATAATGCAAACCATATTTGCACCACAAGTGGCCACATATCCGTTCCCTTCACTTCCCGATGGGTTTGGCATAAAGGCTGCGCTCCAGATGTTTGTCGAGTTGTCGAACGGATCTATTCATCAACAAATCATGTGTTCAGATCAAATCAATGCATTGCTTTTCATCACAAATGATCTCCTCCTCCGCTCACTAATAGGTTATAGCCACTTGTGGTGCAAATATGGTTTGCATTATTGACTGCAAGAAGTCAATAGAGAGCGAGAGAGAGAGAGAGAGAGAGAAGAGGTGATGATGTGGTGACCAACCATTTCTCCTGCAATGACACCTCACAAAGAGTTTGGGCGTATAATTCAATTGCGGATCAATTGTCTCATTCATGGACTCCTTCTTCGCTAATGACTTGTCTTTCTTCTTATCATTCATTTGAATAGATTTGCATTTCTTTGGGTTCGACTTGAGGTGGGAATCGGTGTCCAAAGGAGTGGATCTCACTTTCTTTGATCGCATTGTGAGACCCGATGTGTTGCAAGTGATGGCGATATCAATCAAATCAATGCAATGAATGGCAAGTAATGAGTCAATCAAATCAATACGACTTTCATTCAAATGGTTTGCATTTCACGTGATTTTCGCTTTCATTCCATAACTCTATCAAAACATTTCAAATAATATCGCTATCAATGCATACATTAATACTTATATAACGTTACGTTATATTCATTTTTATTAAACCCTTTACAACAGAATTTGCTCAGAAATGTATTCCACATGAGTATAGACCCCCTAAACCACTCTCACTCTTACACGCACTCCAAATATAACGTTGTTTTTGAATGATTACGAGTTGAGCGCCAATTAAATGACTGCATGTATTGTTTTAACGTTTAATTGCAATGAATTAATGCATTGTTTTTCAAAGCATTTAAATGTTTTGAATTGAAATTACTTTTGGTTTTAATTATTATATTTTTGGTAAGTTTTTTGGCATTCATTTACTTTTATTTAAACCATTATTTAATTGGATTTACAAATGGTTTGCATTTATTGTCAATAATTATTACAAATTGAATGCAATTTACATAAATGTAAACATTTGTAAGCGTTTTGTTGTCTAATATATTGAATTGAATTGCGAGACAATGTCTTCGGCCAATCAATTGGATCCACAATTGATGCAAATGATTGAACACAAGCGAAGGCTTGCCATTGAAAAGCGTAACAAAAGGCAAGCGATTGAATC